CGTATCACTCTACACGCACTTGCACCAGGCAGAGGATAAACACTTCAAAGAGTTGAAATCTTCACAGATGCAGATTGCCTCAACATTCTACTGCAGAGCCACTGGTGGCCTCAGATCACTGACCTTTTCCGAGTAGCAGCCAAGTTCTTTAGCCACTGTGCCTCCGGGCCCCTTTTATCCACATGTACGTGGTTGTTATGTGCCATCAAGTCCTCCCCTCCTCACTGCAGCCATGTACGTGCAGCAGCACCAAACCCCATCCCATCCTGCCACACCCTCACAATCTGCTATGCCTAAACCCACTGGCGTGGGCACTGTGTCAGTCCGTCTTGTTGGGGGTCTTCGTCTCTTTTTCTGACCCTTTGCCAACCATGACGTCCCTCTCCAAGGCGGGGCCCCTCCCGCTAGCATGTCCTGAGAATGTGAGGTAAAGTCCCACCATCCTTGCTCTAAGACAGATCGGTTCGTGCTTTTGACCGTCCCTGGGATAGCAATATTCTTTTTTTAAAAAAACTTTTTTTAAAAGTAGCATTCATTTTATTACAAATATTTAGTATTGGTTTCCCATATTTCTCCCCTTTTGTTTTTATCATAATTATGTTATCATCTAGATGAACAGATAGCAATATATTCTTCAGCACCACGATTCAAAGGCATGTGTTCCTCCTCAATGTGTCTTACTCATTCTCCAACCTTCACATGCACATGTTGTTGTTGTAGTTATGTGCCGTCGAGTCACTTGCGACTCATAGAGACCCTATGTACAACAGCCCTAAACTCTGCTCTATCCTGTGCCAATTGCACTGTCTCTGACACTCCCATCCCGATATCCCAGTCACTGAATCAAGCCACCTTATAGAGGGCCTTCCTCTCCTGCGCTGTCCCTCCACCCTCCCAAGCATGATGTCCCTCTCCAAGGACCAGTCCCTCCTCACAACATGTCCAAAGTATGTTAGATGGAGCTTCAGAGTCCTTGCCTCCAAGGAGCAGCCTGGTTTAACCCTCTCCAGGATGAATCTGTTTGTTTTCCTAGCAGTCCATGGTACTCTCAATATTCTTCTCCATACTGAAAACACTATCGCTTGGGTCCCATGCACGCTGGTTTTCAGAGTGATGTTCATAAAGGGGTTGGCATTTATAGCATGTATGTTAGGGTACACAAGTCAATCAATCCTAACACCCCCCAAAGCTTTTAGGACTCCCCAGAGTGGGTGTTGGTGGGAGGAGGAGCTCGTGTGCCTCCCTAACAGTGGGGCCTAAGAGGGCAGGCTTTCAACTACAGCAGGTGGGTTCAGTCCTTAGTGTTCACGTCTGTGAAATGGGGTTAAGCCTGGATAGTAGCATCGATGATCTCCATGAGATGATGCCAGTGGAGGGCTGAGGGGGACTGTCCTCGGTCTCTGCAGAAGCTGCATACCTACTTCCCCGTCTCCTCACTGGGGGTGCTGCAGGAGGACTCGTCCAACATCGTGGAGCTGCTGAAGGAAGCCTTTAAAGTAGGCCTAGTTGGGGCTGCTGGGCTGAGCCCTTCGGGGGCAGGGCTGGAGTGGAGCGGAGTGGACAAGGCGTGTCTGGGTTAAGCAAGGGGTTGTACTGGTGATGAAAGGTCTCTGGTGGTCATTAAGGGGCTGCAGAGCCATACTGGATCTGGACCTTAGGCTTCTGACACCGTGACCCTGCCACCATCACCCCATCTCTCATGCAGGTGGGAGTGAAGGGCAGTCAGGCCAAAGGGGGGACACCTAGGCTGCCCCCAAGGCCACAGACCACTGCCATGCTTTGAGACCACTGACTACCACCCTCCTCTAGAGAATTCGTTCCAACCTGGACATCCGTGCGCTGGAGAGCCCTCGAGGGGTGAGGACAGAGGTCACCTCCAAGCTATTTCAGAAGACATCTACCGGGTCCTTCCACATTCGGCGTGGTGAAGTGGTATGCCTCAGGGCGGCCGGCAGTGGGCAGGGAGGACCAGCACCCTCCTGGGCTGGGGCTTTCTTGAGCAGGGTCAAGAGTGGGACCTCTAAAGAGGGGCAGGCCTGGGTTCAAATCCCGCTGGGTCAGCAACTCATGTGAGCTTCCGAGGGCTCTCCCTTTGACTTCAGCCTCATCCATGCCATGGAATGATAACAGCCCTGAGGGAGGAGGTGGTGAAATGAATCAGAGGGATCAAGTAGCGAAGCTACAGGAAGCTGTCATTGTCACTGCTGTTGCTGGAGTGGCTGTGCCTTGATAGAGCAGGTCTTCAGGCCCAAGGCAGGGAGGGAGCTGAGTGTCAGGCAGGGAGTGTGTGGTAGCTGACAGTGGTGCTGGGTAGAGCAGGTGTGCAGGCTGAGGGCAGGCAGGCAGGGAGCTGGGGGGGCAGGCAGGCAGCTGGGTAGAGCAGGTCTGCAGGCCCAGAGCAGGCAGGCAGGGAGCTGGGGGGCAGGCAGGGAACGTGTGGTAGCTGACAGGGCATCTCTGTCTGCAGGGCATGTACGACGTGCAACTGCGGGCCGTTGAGGAAGTGGATGGGACGCATGTGTGCCAGTTGCCAGAAGACGACCAGGAGGGAAAAATCCACCTGAAGCCCTCCTTCTCTGATGGTCTTGAAATAGACGTGGGCATCATCTGTGACGTGTGCGCCTGCGAGCTGGTACTGTGAGGTCCTGCGGGTAGGGGGAGCCCCCTCTGGTCACATGGTAGCCCTTGGGCCTTCCCTGGGGGGGCAGAGGTCAGTGTTCCAAGCCCCCTCCCCCACCACACACCTTCCCAATGGTCTCGTTCCAGCAAAAAGAGGTGCGGTCAGCTTCCTGCAACTTCAATGGGGACTTCATGTGTGGACACTGCGTGTGTAGTGAGGGCTGGTGAGTGTGCAGGGCCGGCTCCAGCTGCCTGGAGAGGGGATTGGAGGCCGTGGAGGAGGGAATATCCACTTGTCTGACACACTGTGAAAAGTACTTTGCTCTACAGATGTGCAGGCAGCCTCTGCAAGGACACACAGTGGGATGGGCAGCTGTCAGGATGGAGACCAGGGCAGAAAGGGAGGGAAAGCTACTTTTCCTCCATCTCTCTGGTACCTTTTTTCTTCTGAGTCATGAGCCTGGACCCCCACCACCATTGAGTGGATCTGGTATCCGGAAGTGATACTTTCTCCAGGAGCAGCCAGGGGGTTTGAACTGCTGACCTTCTGCTCAGCAGCCAGTGTACTATGCCAGCCCTGCAAGCCTATACTACATCATCAGAAATAGAATCATGTGACTGTGTGGGCTTTGAAGGAGTCCTGGTAGTGCAGTGGCTAGGCATTCAGCTGCTGACTGAAAGGTCAGCGGTTCAAACCCATCCTTCCTCTCTGTGGAGAAAAAGCCTAAAGATCAGACCCTGGAAAAGATTCCAGCCTCAAAGAACCCACGTGGCTGTCTACTGTGTCACAAGGGTCACTGGGACGGAATAGACTTGACCCCCACTAATGAAAACAAGGACTTTGAAGGCTTGAGAACATCGTTGAAAGATGTGGTGGCTCAAGGGAGGAACGTGGGAGTGGGCATATCTGGACACTGAGGCTTGAGGTCTCGGCTGTCTGTAGGCATCAGCCTGCCTCTGCCCTCGCAGAGCCTCAGTCTTCCTATCTGTGAAATGTGACAGCTGTGGGTCGGTTCCCAAGCGAGAGGACAGAACAAGAAGACGAGGGAGGTTTGGAGGTTGGTGGTGAGGAGTTGAGCTGCCGTTGCAAAGGCACACGGTTCCGTCAGAAAGATGAGCAGTCTCTTCCCGTGCGATTTAACGCCTCTGAAACCCTGCTGGAGGGTCAGCTACGAGGCAGTTCTGACTGGACGGTACACAACAGCAACAACAAGTGACCTGTCCCTCCCCAGGAGCGGCAAGACCTGCAACTGCTCCACCGGCTCCCTGAGCGACACGCAGCCCTGCATGCGGGAGGGCGAGGACAGGCCGTGCTCGGGCCGGGGCGAGTGCCAGTGCGGCCGCTGCCTGTGCTACGGCGAGGGCCGCTACGTGGGCCAGTTCTGCGAGTACGACAACTTCCAGTGTCCCCGCACCTCCGGCTTCCTCTGCAATGGTGAGCTGGGGCCACCCCGCACCCTGCCAGTGCAGCTCTCACTTCAGCCCCTGGTTTGGGTCGTCCTCGGCCTGCAGACACCCTGAGTATCCCCCAAATCCTTCCCCACCCAAGACGTCATTTTTTTCATCTACAAATACGATGCCCCGGGTCCCTGACAGCGCAACATTCCTGGTGTTTTAAGACGCTGGCTCCCCTGACCCCCTCTGTCAGCTCAGGTCTGCGTCCTCTTAGGGTCAGCACCGCTCAGGTCAGCCCGGCTGGGGAGTGTCTGTGGTGGTGGTGGTGGTGGTGGTGGTGGTGGTTGTTAGGTTTCATCCAGTTGAGTACAATTCATAGCCACTCCTGAACAGCAGATCTGAACCCTGTCCTATCCTCACCATCTTTTATTTTTTGTATTAATTTTAATGAAAGTTTACAGAGACTTAGGGTTTCCAGTTATTCATTGTTGCACGTTTCTCCCTGCCCATCCCCTCCTCCCCATTCACTCTTCTCCTTGAAATGTAAAACTCTTTCATTGTTATGCAATCCCTCCCCCCAGATCCACTCCACTGTGCACCCTTCACTCTGGACTCCTGTCATGACAATAATACCTAGTCACATATCCCTTTTAAAGTTTTCTCCCTCATCTGTTTCAATGCAGTATACATTATTAAACCCATCTTTCTCAGTCTTCCCCCAACCCCAATGTCAGTCCTGTTTTACAACAGTGGCCCTATGCAATATTTGTCCTTTTGTGACTGAGATATTTAACTCAGCATAATGTCCTCCAGGGTCACCCATTTTGAATAGTATTACATGAGTTCCTTGTTTTTCAATGCAGCGTAGTATTCCAATGTGTGACTATACCAGAGTTTCTCTATCCATTCGTTTGTTGATGGGCACTTGGGTTGTTTCCAACTCTTTGCTATTGTGAACAAAGCCACAATAAACATGGGTGTGCATACATCTTTTTTTTATTAATTTTAAAGAAAGGTTACAAAGATTTAGGACTTCCGTTCATTCATTGTTGCACATCCTCCCTGTCTTCACACACTTGAGCCCGTTGCTACCCTCACTGTGTCAATCCATCTTGTCGAGGGTCTTTCTTTCATTCACTGATTCTCCTTAAGTAGGAGAGACACACAGTTGGGTTTGTGTTTGGGGACGGTTGCTCTGGCCGCAGAGTGGTGGTAGAAGTGGGGTTGGGGCGAGCTCTGGTGGCCTAGTGGCAAGAAGCTGCACTGCAATCCTAGAGGTGTGCAGTTCAAATCCACCAGATGCTTTGCTGGAGAAGGAGGGACAATCTCCTCCTGTACCACACAAAATAACAATTAATAATAACAATAATAATAATAATAGAAGTAGGGTTGGAGGAAGAAACCAAGAGAGAAGATCCAGGAGAGAGAGGAAGAGCTGACCCCACCCCAGACTGCACCTCTCCTCCATGCTCAGCTTTCATGGTCCTGCCCTGGAAACAGGCAGGCTGGGGCTGCAGATTCCAGCGTGGTCCCCTCTCCCTTCCCTGCCATCTCTGCAGACCGAGGACACTGTACCATGGGCCAGTGTGTGTGTGAGCCTGGCTGGACAGGCCCAAGCTGTGACTGCCCCCTCAGCAACGCCACCTGCATTGACAGCAATGGGGTAAGCCGGGCATTGGGCAGGTAAGGTGGGGTAGCCAAGAGCATGCCCAGTAGACAGAGAGGAGGGGGAGAGCAGGAATGGGGTACAGATAGCTCACTGCTGCCTCCCTCACCCCAGGGCATCTGTAACGGACGTGGCCACTGTGAGTGCGGACGCTGCCGCTGTAACCAGCAGTCACTGTACACGGACACCACCTGTGAGATCAACTACTCAGCGGTGAGGCTGGGGGGCTGCATGGGCTGTGGGCATGGCAGCCCAGGGGCACAAGGCGGGATGGGGGTCCACGCTGGCCGAGACCAGGAGCCTGGAGGGGGCTGGGCCTGGCACCCTCAGCACAGTGTCCATGGGCCCCTCTGCTCCCTCACAGATCCGCCTGGGGCTCTGTGAGGACCTGCGCTCCTGCGTGCAGTGCCAGGCCTGGGGCACTGGGGAGAAGAAGGGGCCCACATGCCAGGAATGCAGCTTCAAGGTCAAGATGGTGGACGAGCTGAAGAAAGGTGTGGGGGCAGGGCTGGGGTGCAGAGGGCCCAGGTGGGGCACACGGAGTCCACTCCTCTGGACAGCACTACTTTCTGGACTGAGGTCCCACAGGGAACTAGGGGACACAGAACCTAGACTGGAGACACACGGGGTGACCAGAGTGTTCACAGCTGAGCCAGCACCAAAAAGTGTGGGCAGGAGGCACCTGGCCCAGGCAGGGGGCAAAGAGCCAGGTAGGGCACACGGGCCAAGAGGGCACATGATCAGGCTGGGCCCATAGCCTCTCCGGCTTCAAAGCCACTTTCTACTGCCATGCCCTGGGTAGTGCAGAGGGTGGAAAAGTGAGGGGGACAGACTGGAATCCTGGGACATTCCTGGGCCCCAGGGAGGCCCTTCTCCCCCCCACCAACGTCCCTGTGTCCAGATGTCACAGTGGTGGAGAGTCACTTTCCCAGGAAGATACCTCAGACCCTGTAGGGACCAGGGGTGCACTAGCATAAGGACCCTAGGCCCTAGGTGTTCCATGTAGTGGGTGGGTGCTGTCTGACTGTGGATGTAGTGGGGGTGCTCCAGGTGGCGGGTGGGGTGGGTACCCTCTGACTGGCTGCAGTGGGGGTCCTCCGGGCGTGGGGTTAGTTGGGTGCCATCTGATTGTGAATGTGGGAGGGGGTGGGCTGAGTTCCAGATGGGGCATCTTCTGACTGTAACTGCAGTGGGGTGCTCCAAGTGGGTCAGTGGGGTGCCATCTGCCTGACTGCAGTGACAGGTTCCCGGGCGGGGGATTAGTTGGGTGTCATCTGACTGTGCATGTGGGAGGGGTGGGCTGTGGCCTGGACTGGGCACCATCTGACCGTCTCTGGCTTCAGCGGAGGAGGTGGTGGAGTACTGCTCCTTCCGGGACGAGGACGATGACTGTACCTACAGCTACACGGTGGAGGGTGATGGCGCTCCCGGGCCCAACAGCACCGTCCTGGTGCACAGGAAGAAGGGTGAGGGGGCAGGCCATGCGGGGTGGGGGCAGCCGGTCAGCCGGCAAGGGACCGTCTCCCTCCTCCCATCCTTCCTCCACTCCCTCCTCCTCTCGCTCCTCCCCCTCCTCAACTCCCTTCTTCCCCGTCCTCCACTCCCTTTTCTCCCTCCCTCCTCCCCTTCCTTCTCATCCTCCTCCTCTTCCTCC